AAAAAAAAAAAAATTAGCTAGGTGTGGTGGTACACACCTGTAATCCCAGCTACTTGAGAGGTTGAGGCACGAGAATTATTTGAACCTGGGAGGCAGGGGTTGCAGTAAGCTGATATCGTACCAGTGCACTCCAGCCTGGGTGACAGAGCAAGACTCTGTTTCAAAAAAAAGGAAAGGGAAAACCAGAATGTTGGAAAAGTGATCTTGTCTCATACCTGACCACATGTACACAACCATGTTCTTGCCTGGCATTGTAGGTGACTGACTTTGCACTCCCCAAATGCCCCACTTTACAGATGAGCAGAAGCTGAGCCTGAGTGAGGAAGGGACTGCTTCCAGGTTAGGGAACAAGTGATGAATGCCCAACTTGTGCCAGAGCTGACCGGACCGGCCTCTTGCCTGGTTCCATTCCTCACACTGGAGGTCAGGTCAACAAAAACCCTGTTGGTCAGACAGCGGGAAAGGAAGAGACTGGGAGGACAGAGTCCACCCACACAGACCTCTCAGGCCCCAGCTCAGATCCTGGTTACCTGAGGCACCCGACAAATCTTCCCTTTCCTCTGGTCTCAGCATTCCTGTCTGAAACAGGGGCTGGTAACGGATATCCTTTCTTTCTTTTTTCTTTTTTCTTTTTTCTTTTTTTTTTTTTTTGAGACAGAGTCTTGCTCTGTCTCCCAGGCTGGAGTGCAGTGGCGCGATCTCTGCGCCCTGGGTTCACACCATTCTCCTGCCTCAGCCTCCCGAGTAGCTGGGACTATAGGCGCCTGCCACCACACCCGGCTATTATTATTATTTTTTTTTATTTTTTGTATTTTTAGTAGAGACAGGGGTTTCACCGTGTTAGCCAGGATGGTCTCGATCTCCTGACCTCGTGATCCACCTGCCTCAGCCTCCCAAAGTGCTGGAATTACAGACATGAGCCACCGTGCCCGGCCCCTGACATCCTTTCAAGGAGAGGTACCCAGGGCCAAGTGGGAGAAGTGAACCCTGGACCATCTACAACAGCATAAGACAGAAGAGGGCTTATGGTGGCAGGTCCATGTAGCTACTTGGGCTTGTCTCGGGTTAACAGTAAGCATTCCCTCAGCATTCGCCAACAGAGAGGGTGATGTGGGAGCATTCTGTAACTAACTGACCCACGCTGGTTGAGCAGCCGAAGCGTTAGAGCGTTTCTAGGTGCCAGGACGAGGGGAGGAGAGAAAGAGACAACTGACTCAGGTGGGGAGACAGACTTGAGAAGCTGAGGCAGTGAAGCATCAGAGAACGGCGTGGCCAGTCAGGGCAGCACCTGCTGAGGAACTGGGGCAAGATCTGGAGATGTAGGGTCCTCGGAGACAAGACTCAGTGGCATTCTCCCTGCACTTCAAAGGAGCCCAGACTGGGCTTAGAGAGTCCAGCGGCTGGAGCCAGTCCTACCGTGACCAGCATGGGAGGCACTGAGGGAAAGACAAAGCTGACGTTTTTGGAAGTGCTGTGAGTGCAACTGGAGAACGTGTTTCACTGAATCTGTTTGATCACAAGAGCTACAGGTTGGGGAAAAGGAGGCAGAGCTAGAGGGCCAGAGGTCAAGGAGACACTGGAATGTGTTACAGACTGAGGCCGTGGCAAGGACAGAAACAGCCCAGGGTTGTGGCGGGTGCCTCAGGGCTTTCTCCCACTCCCCTTCTTTTCTTTTTTTCCCAACTCCTATGTCCCTGTCTAATGGGTTTTTATTGGGTTTTATTGGGCTTGTTTTCAGTTGAGTTTATTGACCATTGACCACTTGGTACATGCATGAGTCAGAGTGGTTTAAAGGCCTGGAGCCAAGCAGATGACGTGAAAGACAGGTTCGATGGAGCCTGACTGGCTCTTGAAGGCTAGGTTTGGAGCCCCCGTGAGTAAAAGGGGGGCCAACTGAATGGTAGCGCAAGGAACCAGTCTAGTAGTTCCAGCCATGCAAAGATGGTGTGGGCTGCCTGGGGAGGCAGAGCCCAGACAGCCTCCTGATGTGAGTCAGCAACGTGAGTCAGTGGCTGCGGGACAAGGCCATTAACATCCTGGCTACATTACTAGGTGTAACATTCCACAGGGAAGGAGGCGTGATTTTCTTCTCTTCTGTGCTGGTTGGATGAAACCAGACGTACAGTCGCCACCTTACAGGGGGCCACATTCCAAGGAGAAATACCCATATGAGGCAGGGGTTGGCAGCCATGTATGCAATGAGTGGTTGGAACTGAGAAGACTCTCAGCTGGGTGGTGGCAGTCAGAGGCAGGAGGACATAATGGTATTTCATGGGATGTCCTATGAGGTTTTCTATCGCATTCCATTCAAAAAGTGCTAGCACCGGGTGTGGTGGTTCACACCTGTAATCCCAGCACTTTGGGAGGCCAATGTGGGAAGATTGCTTGAGCTCAGGAGTTTGAGACCAGCCTGGGCAATAGAATGAGACCCCATCACTATTAATTAAAAAAAAAAAGTGCTGGTTCCTACCTACACTGATTTCAGGTGGTTCGAAAGCTCACCTTAAGAAAGTGTGAACATTTGGGGATGGAGAACATTAGGAGAAATACTTAATGCATGCACAGCTTAAAATCTAGATGACAGGTTGATATGTACAGCAAACCACCATGGCACATGTATACCTCTGTAACAAACCTGCACCTTCTGCACATGTATCCTGGAACTTAAAATAAATTTTAAAAAAACTGTGAACATTTAAGCAGAGGCCATAGGGTGTCTTGGGAGGGATGTGGTAGAAGAATTCCATTATTCTCTGAGAGACTGCATCCACAGAAGTCTAAGGCCCTCCCCACTGAGAACCTAAGATTACGTAAGTCTATTGTTTCATGGTGGGAAGGTGGGACTAGGTAGCCTTTAACGTACAAAGTGATGAGGATCTGAGCCCCTGCAGTGGCAGTGGGAATGGGAAGAGGGACAGGTGGGAAGAATCCTATTAGATTCTGGAGGACTGGTAGGAATCCTATTAGATAGGGTCCCTGACATTTCGTGCCGGCAGAACTTGAAAACTCCAGTGACACTGACAGAAATAGAGAACTCCTAAGAAGCAGAGAGTTTGGGAAGACAAAGAATTAGTTCCCATTTAGACACTCCTTGCTCAGAAAATTATTTTTTGAATGAATGTGAAGCTTGAGATGGTGGTGGGGTCATGGCAGGATTAGATTTAGAAGCTCTGAGCATCAAAAAGATAACGATGTCACCTATGTAATTCAATATAAAAACACTGCTAGACAGAAAACTAAGGGAATTTGACAGATTTCTCCTTTTTCTTATGAGAAAAGACAGGGTGTAATACATGAACTTATTTCAGCCCTCCCTCCTGCGTGATCATACATTAATCTGCCTTTTGGGTAGCCTTATACCATATAGAGCATCCAAAGAGAAATGTATTTTAAAGGTCGGAAATAGAGGATTGGAGTTCGGGAAAGAAGAAATGAAGACACAGATTGAGAGACTGACGAATCCAGCACAAGGAAATTTCACAGGAAATCCTGGAAATGGATAAGTCTCAGAGTGAGAGGATGTGGAGACAGAGAAAAGAAAACAGAGGCCAGGCACAGCAACTCACACCCGTAATCCCAGCTCTTTGGAAGGCTGAGGCTGGTGGATCACTTGAGTCCAGAGTTCAAAACCAGCCTGAGCAACACGGCAAGACCCCACCTCTACCAAAACAAACAAACAAACAAACCAAAATTAGCTGGGCATGGTGGTGCATGCCTGCAGTACCAGCTACTCAGGAGACTGAGGTGGGAGGATGGCTTGAGCCCAGGAGTTCAAGGCTGCAGTGAGCTGTGATTGCTCCACTCACTTCCAGCCTGGGAGACTGAGCAAGACCCTGTTTCAAAAAGCGAGTGAAAAAGGAAAGAAAACAGAATGGAGACATGAAAATTGGAGAATATCTACATTTTCAAGACTGGGGAAAGGGATGAGGAGGGTCATTAAAGGCAGCAACCAGAAGACCAGAAAAATAAAGGCGATTTAGTGTCCACAAACCCAGGAAGGAGTGAATTTCAAGGGGGAGGTGTTGACCTTTGACAAGGGCTTCAGAGAGGTCAAGAAGAATGAAAGCTAAAAAAAGGACCAGGCATTCAGCCAGCTGCCCTGGGGTTAGGAAAGGACTGGGCAGAAAGCCCATTAAGGCAGAGTATAGGCTCAGTCCACAGAATGGCTAGTCAAAAGTTGGCTGTAAAAGGACTGTCCAACTTGAAAGTACAACAGAAATCCACGGTACGCTGTTAAGTCACCCTACCTGGCTCGCAGAATGTATGAGCAGTTAGACTGAGGATGGGAGGAGGCTGAGAAAGCTCATGCTCACAGCCATCTCGGCCTCCTGCCTCCCACCCCCCACTGCGTCCTGCCTGTCGCCTGTTGCCTCTATGTTTAGACACATCTAGGACAAAAATATGTGCTGCCTGGCCCCTGTCAGCTCACACTGAGATGCTGGTGGACTTTTATATCACTCCAAGGCACATGGGAGGGAGCAGATGGGACCCGAGGAATGCAGAATGCTCAGAACGCAGTGAAGTTGGGCTGGCCAACAGATGGACCCTTTCAGAACGAGCTCCAAGGTTGCTTAGCAACACCTTCACCCGGGCTGGGCTTCTACTGGTTCCACGAGGCTCACCTCTGCAAATCAGTGCAGTGGCTCCATCAGGCTCTGTCTAGAAGGGAGGCGCTGAGCCTACTGTGCTTAAGATGCTGCTGGGTGGAGCAGCCTCCTTTTGGGGGTCTCTGCCTGATCTGGGGCAGAGCCTGGAAGCGGTTGCCTTGAAGCCCACAGTGACAGGGCTCTCCCTGACCCAGGGCTTAGGCTCCAACTCAGTGCTCAATACACGTTTGTTGAAAGAGCGAGCAAATGATGGCTGCTTTTGTTATGTAATGGAAGGGGAGTGGACAGTTTGGAAAGGGCGCTCCATGGCTGATATTCAGTATGGCTACAGGGTTGGTAAAATATTGAAATACCTACAGTATGGCTTATTGTGGCTATTTCTGAGTCCCCAAATGCCCCCACTACCCACGTTCCCTGGCTTCTCCCCTAGAGCCCCCAGGCATTCTTAGGAAAACAGTTAAAGAGTTTACACCTGGCACAGTAGGGGCCTCTAAGGTTTTGCTCCAGGCCTTTGGCCGGCATCTGACCACCTGGACTAGAGGCATCTGTGTTGCACTAGTTGTTGCACAATCTGACAATCTCCTTAGCTCCTAGTACAAGACCCAGCAACTGAGCCCTCTGCTACGACTATCTTCACTTCCCATCCCTTCTTCCTGCCATGCTTGCTCTCCTGATGGCACACGAGACTGAGCCTGAGCCCAAGACTAGGGTAGGGCAGGCAGCAGACAGGGAGCAGGCAGTGAACAGGGGTGCCCACTCTCTCAGGATTCCCAGCAGACACACGGGGGAGCTGCAGGTCCATTCCCCAGCAGGGAGGGTGGGAGAGGGTGGTGTGGCCGACCTAGGAGGGAAACCCAGCTTCCCAGATGGGGTCAGGCTTTCTGCTTCTATTGCTGCTGAGGGCTCTCTGGTCTTGGCCTTATTTGGTTAAAAAGCCATAAGACAGGGCCTAGAAACAGGAGCTGAAGACAATGTGGCTGAGAACCTGCCCCACCCCAGGCCTGAAGTCAAGCTGAACAACCACTTACAGATTCCTCCTTAAAAGGAGCCTGTAGCTGCCGTGTCCTTGTAGGTCCATCCTCGTCCCTCCTCCATACAGCTCTGGGCTCTGCCCTTTGCTGCTCTCCTCTGTGATCCTTTCCTGATGGAATCTCCCTAATCCAGGCTCTCCTGTCTCCAGCCACAGCTCCTGAGCCTGCCGGGGTCCTGCCTGGGCCCTCTAGCCTGTAGTCAGACTTTTTCATCTGCCCCAAACACCGCTGCTAAAAGAAGCCTTCCTGCCATTTTCCTGGCATCCCGATGGCCTCTCTCAAGAGCCCACTTTTCTCACCAGGATCCCCTCCTTCTGCTGGGGCCTGGTCCTCCTCTCCCTGCTGCGTCTCCTATTCCCAATGGCGGCTGCACTCTCGTCTCCCCTCTCGCCTCCCCTGTCCATTCTCATGGACTCCCCTCCATCCTCCAAATCTCTCAGGCCTCAGTAAGGGGGCGAGATGGGTGCTGAGGAAGCTGGGGTGGAAGACGAAGTGGGTAGGGCGAACTGTGTGTCCTGGTTTGTGGAGAGGAGCCAGGCAGGTCCTCCCCTCTTACCTGAGTGGGGCAGGTGATGGGGATCTCTGCTCTCAGGTCCAGGGTCTCTGTTTTGCTTCCAAGTGGTTCAAGCTGATCAGGGAAGAAAAGGGAGACACGGGTGTAGTAGTTTGTTTCCATGGAAGTGAACATTCCCTGGCAGCATCCTGCAGTGGGGAAAGCTCAGAACTCAATTTCAGGGGGGCTTGGCTCCCGCTTCTGGCTCTGCCAGTTGCCAGCCGTGGGGTTCTGGGCCAGTCGCTTTGCTTCTCTGGGAGTAGCTTCCTCAGGGACTCGTCATGCTTCTCTAGCAGGGATGTGGAGAGCCGTAAATGAGATAACATGGCTTAAACTGCCTGACATGGTGGCTGGCACACAGGGAAAGTTGAATGAATGTGGGGTTTTTGGCTTGCGTTTCTGTAGAGAGGTCCCTCCTCAGAGTTCAAAGCTCTGAGGAGGGGGTGCAGCCGAGCTCAGGCCGAGCAGGCTCTTAAGGACTCCACATTTCCAACCGCATAGACGTCTACAGATGTGCCAGCCACTGCCCCCTCAGCCTCACTTGCAAGGCTCCATTCTGTAGGGGCTGGTGCTCTGCCCTAGACTAGAACCCCAGGGAACAAGGGACACCCCACTTATTTTACCATATTGGCCCAAAGGGCTCTGGCGAGCTGGGAGTGGAATTTCTGACTTGGGTGGATGCAGTCTGGGGCGAAGAAGGACGTATCTGGGAGCCCATCCTGAAAGAGACCAATATACCCCCTCAAGATCCTATTGCTTCAGAGCGAGCCACCACCAGCGGGCCTGGCCCCTGGGACTGACCACTCAACACCTTCCTTCCCCTGGGAGTGCTCCAGGTCACCAGCCCCTACAGGGCCCTCTCACCTGAAGAGAGAGATGCGGGTGATCCCACAAATAATAGTTTCGGGTGACCCCAACCCCAACCTTCCTTTTTGACCCTATAAGTGCCCCTTGTTTAATTAGAAAGGTGTCATATTTATTTTGGGGCACATTCATGTAATGCCTGAGGCCATGCCATGGATGAAGGAGTGAGATCCTGGTCCTGCAGAGAGTCTTGACCAGCCAGATGGGAAAAGCGACTTCCCAGCTTTTGGTCTGCTGGTCCTGGTGGTACTGGTGGGGAGAATGGAACAAAGCCTTGGGGAAGGCCTGCGTAGCTGGGTCCCCTGACACCAGCCTTTTCGTCTGGAGGTGCTGGGGGGGCATAGAGCTGCTCTCCTTCCCACTTCCCTCCAGTTAGGTGAGCCTCTTGGGGTGGCAACCCAGGGGAACAGACCTCAGTCCTCACCGGGTCCACTCACAGATCTCTTCCGTTCAGAGTGGAAGTGCCAGGCAAAGGGCATGGCCCGGGTGGAAACAGAGAACCCCCAGAATGCTCCCTTGTAACCGCAGTGCTGCACACGAGAGAGACCACGTGTGTGGCAGAAAGCTAGTCATTCGGAGCTGGCTGTGTTCGTGTTGGCCTCCCTGTCCCTTATTTCCTAAATGATCTCTACACCTGTGTTCCATGCAGTTGATCACACTCATTTCCAAACACAGATGTGACAGTTTTATTTACGGAAAGCACAGTGCCTGGCACTAGTAGGTGCTCAACACAATGGAGGCTGTTACAGGGGTCATGGGAGCCTCACACATACGGATACGGCTCAGGTATTCAGGGAGTCCGCACCTGTCAGCACAGCCCCTGGAAAGCTGTGTCTTTCCCATTTTATACACATGCTCATGGAAGCAACTGGCATTTCTGCCTTGAATTTCTTCCTCTAAAAGAGCACCATGGGTGAGGGCAGGGGACATACCGCCAGGACAGGGAGCTGGACGTTCTGGAAGAAGGGCTGCAGCACCACCGAAAAGTCCTCCCGTGTGTCATAGCGGCCTGACTCCACCAGCTCACGCATGCTGCTCTGGGGACACACGCACAGGGCCTTCAGCACAGGCCCTGGTGGTCCCAGGGCCCAGTGAGGCAAGAGCAGGGGTGATGGGCAGCCCATCTCCCTGGGTGAAGGGGCCGACTCAGCCTTTCCCTTGAGAACACAAACACACCTGATGGCAAGTCCCTTTCGAGAATTTGGAAACAGGTTGGGTCACCTTTTTGTATTGATTGTAAGTAGACTACTCTCTCTGAAGGGCTAGGCAGGAAGTCCCAAAAGGGATAAAAACCTGGGAAGACCTGCCAGAGGCTCGGCTCCTGCCTTTGGAGTGGGAGTGTGGGGGAGGGAAAGGGGGTCTCATGAGGCATCCAGGGCTCCGGGCCAGGAGTTGGGGTTAAGCCTTCAAGGGTAGCTGGGCCATGGGGGCTTTCCCACCTGGATCCTACTGGGATGATTCCAACCAGGGGGCCTGAGACAGCACAGTGACGTGAGACAGAGGAAGGGAACCAGGGTGCTCCCCGTCTCCCCGCAAGCCCTGACCAGCCCTTCCTTCCCTGGGGGCTCTGGGCTGTGTGTTAGAGTGAGCGTAGGGGAGAGGACACAGGATGGTCCCTTCTTGGTCTTACCTGGTAGGCTCGGCTGAAGGACTCCAGCCTGGCCAGCTCTTGGGAGTTCTCCCGCAGGGTCAGAACGCAGTTACACAAAATGCTGCACAAAGATGGGGAGGCAGGAGGCCCCAGAGCCCAGGCTTCCATCAGGTGCTGGTTCTGATTGCCCAGGTTCAGGGGAGGGGTGGAGAGGCTCCCTCCCACCCTGGTTTAGGAGCACTGAAGTCTTGAGCTCTGGTGCACATGCTCAGGGGCAGGCTTCAGGCCTCACAGGGGCATTGGAGAAAGCCCAAGGGAGGGAGCCGGTGTGGGAATGAGGACCCTCTCAAACCAACAGAGCACAAGTGTTGGACTGCAGGTGCTGGACCTGCAACCGATTACTCAGCTGAGCAAATGAATTTGGGCAGTGAAAATTTAGTGTTTAATTAAAAAGAAAATGCATCCTCTGGTATTGGAGCTGGTATTTTTGGGCCTCTGATGCTATGCCCTAGACCTCTCCTTCATTCACGTAAGTGCCCTTTTCACACCCATCACATCTACTTAAAAGAGAGATTTCTAAAGCACTTGAAACAATGCCCGGTACACAGGAAGTTCTGTAAGATTTGCTAAGTAAATAGATGTGTAAGATACAAAGAACAATAAAACACACACCCATGTACTTATGGTCCAGTTTAAGAAACAAAACATTCCCAGTCTGAAACTCCCTGTGTCCCTCCTAATTCTCTTCTTCCCCTAAAGGTAACTGAGTTGCTCGTACCTTTTCCTTGCTTTCTGTTACAGTTTGACCACACATGTCTACTTCCCTAACCACTGCCCATGTTCACAGTCTGGGCTATCCTGTCTCTCAGACACCAGCCTCTGTCCCAACTTTGATCCCTCCCCTGTGTGGCTGCCTGGTATCACAGAAGTTCCTGCCAGGCACCTTGAGGTTAGGTAACAGGGGAGTCATGGCTCCAGCCTTCCGGAAGGGGATCGTTCTGGCAGGAATCCTCCTTTACAGACTTGGACACATGGATAGACCAAGTCACAAAGACCCTGAGGCATCACCACTGCCTGCGGGCCAGACCAGGAGGTGAGGGCATCTCCAGTGTGGGGACAGTCAGGACCTGCCTACCTGGCCTGCTGCACTGGGCACTTGTCCGGGTTTCCCAGGAACACCTGCCGCATGACACTGGGGTTCAAGAAGTCCACGAGGTTGACCAGGGCTCTGGGCACCTAACAGAAAAGCTGCGGATGAGAGGGGGGCTCCGGGGGCTTCTTCCTGGGGCTGTCTCAGGGCCCTGAGGAATGGGTTCCTTTAGCAATCCAGCTTGGTCTTTCTGGAGTTGAGTTCTGAGGAGTCTATACAGGGCTACCTCCTAGGGTCTTACAGGCCGTACATCACACAACTCCATGGGTGCCACCCAAAGGGGCTGCAGCAACAATGGCACCTCCTGGAGTGGGACAATAAAGGCTAAGAGATCATCTCTGTTTGGCCATCATGTAGTGAGCCCAGATACATTAGAATGACCTTCAGTGAGATAGGCGACCTGTTCCCTCCAGCCCAACCTGGCCTAACTCTGCTGAGTAGGCACGCGGGCTCAGCCCGCCAGGGAAGCATCTGGTGGTCAGAGTGCCCTGTGTCAGGCAGCCAGGGCAGCTTGTCCTTGCCAGAGGATGGTGGTGGTGGAGGGGGAAAGTGCTGCTGGGTGCAGGACTAGACAGGGGCTTGCTCTCGACCCACCCTGTGGCTCAGAATGCAGTGCCCAGCCTGGGGCCCACCTGGCTGCTACCACCAAAAAAATGTCCCAGATAGTAGTGGGGAGACATTAGACAATTCCACCGAGTGTCCCAGGTAGTGGTGGGGGAACAGCCTTCCCTTCTTCAGACCTGAGACCCTTCTGGGCTGATTCCATATAGAATAAGCTTTCCTTGGGGTTCTGAAAACGGAAGGAACCCATGCCCCTGGCTGTCTCCTTGAGAGAAGGGGGTTCTTCTCCCATTCTTTCCTCCCCATCCACCTTCACCCTCACCATGCTTGAGCTGTTACCAGCTTGTGGGAGCCCCCTACCCACCTCTCTATGTAGGACATCCAAGGCATCGCGGAGATGGTCAACGAAGTTGGCTGCAGAATACAGATTCTAGAGACAGGAAGGAGGAAGAGGAGAAATTGATTAGGGTGAGAGGGCAGTGGAGGCAGTTCTCAACTTCCCTTCTGGCTCCAGCCCTAAGGAGTTGTTCCCCCTCTAGCCTCCAGCTGTGGCCAGCTCACCACGTCAAAATCTGAGATGAATAGCTGACTACTTGCTGTTGTCAAAGATGGGTCAGTGGGAAGACTAGAACCTTCAGCCAGAGCTTTGGTTCAGGAGCAGAAAGTGGAGACTCCTCCTTCCAATTGCTTGCTACAGTTTCCTCTTTCTGAATTCTCAGGAGTTATAAGAGAGAGGAGGAGAAATACCATATATCTGCCACCTGCTACCTCACCACCTAGGACATGGAGATGGTGCCAAGAACCTGGAGGGTGGTGGGGTAAGAAGTGTGTGTATATGTGTGTGTGTGTGTGTGTTGTATGTGTGTGTGTGTGCAGACACAGGTGTAGCTGGATAATCCTAGGATTGGTTTTAGGAACTGTTCTCAGGGAAGATCTCCAATGCCTACTGGGCAAAGTTAGGAACAACACGTAGGCCTGGACCTGGACCCCATTACCGAATCCGTGCAGTAGTCACATAAATCTCTGCCTCCAATCAGCACTGTGATGACCTTCCAATCTTCACGGAAATTTACTCTCTATATGGAAGGAGGAAAATGCTTGGTAATTTCCAACAAGGAAACAAAAATATCCCTGCCCTAGGAAATCCAGTCAACCCTCTATAACATCCTTGCCCACTTGAAATAATGGAATCGGCATCTCTGAACTGAAGGAACTTTAAAGGTTTATTTATAGACCACAGAATCTTAGCATCAGGATGGGTTTTCAGTGTCACTGTGCCCAGCAACAAAGCTCTCCCCACTGACATAATCTCCTCCATAGGACCTCTGTCAGGGAGCTGTCCGACCACTGCTTGAATGTCTCTAATAATATGGGGCTCACAGCTTTTCGTGGCAGACCACTTCATTTGAAGACAACTTTAGTGAGTTGGAAAATTAATATTTAGAAATAACCATAAATCTGACTCACATGGTCATCTTTCATCTTCTGCATCAGAGTTTGGACTTGGCTCATAAGATCCCTAAGAAAGAGAGAAAACCCATTCTTCTGTGGAGGAATAGTACCCATAGTTTTCCTCCTCGGGGGCCTGAACCAGAGGCTTCTACAGTATCATCCCCACTGCATGAGCTGGCAGAGATCCCGAGGCTCAGAGACCAGGAGCGACTTGCCTCTTCTGGAAAGTTATTACAACAGATAATCATTTGAAAAGCCAATGACGTGTTTGTCCTGCAGCCGTAGTCAAAGGTACTGCCAATTATATTGGTTACTCATGGTCTCCTTTCTGGGACTCCACATGCAAAAGGGTTTTTAGGATTCCATGTGAAGAAACCATTCATCTCTTTTGGAAGACTAGTTTAGATCCTAAAATTAGACCTATGAAACTTTTAGCATGCTTCCTCTTTTCACTCTGGCTGCCAGGAAGCTAAGTTTGATGCTCAAACATAATAACCATAAAAATGTTCATATCGACACAGTTACTTCTTTATTTCCTCCAATGGCTGTGATTTTTCTCATACATATATATATATATATATATATATATATATATTTTTTTT